TTCCGTACACAGGATTCTCCCACCCCATTGCAGTCAGCAAATACCTTGCATTCGATGAGCCCGTCCTGCTAGCAGAGGGATCAAACTTGTCAGTGGCTTTTAAATCAAACGAAGGGCCCCTCCCCATCCCTATACGCATTTATTTGAGCAGCATTTGCAGAAATGTTGGAGATGAATAAATCTGCTTACTGGTCAGACGGTGTTCATCTCTTTGTTTTTCTGTGTTTGCTGCTACGCTTTCGTTCCTGGGTTTGCACCCTGTGGCTAAATGGCATCTGCAGCCGGGTTCTAGTGGGGCCATGGCATTAGTGGCCTAAAGCCATCATTATTGGTTTAGCTGTCTGCTTGAGAGGGCCTATAGGGCAGGGAAGCTGCCACTCCGGACAGGTCTGTTGTGCTGCTTGTGTGGAAGATAAATGCAGCTGGAGAGACTAGCCTCCCCTCCTGGAACATTTACATCCCAAATGGACATTAGAGAAACTTGCAACTAAGAACATGCATCTGAGCTTGCCTATTTCTTCCTCTCTCCCAATCAGTTTTCCTTTCCTGCCATACCTTTTTAGGTTGTTAGCTTGAGGGGAGCAACTGCCACCCTGGGATCCACACACATACACACACACACACACACACACAGTCGTACCTTGACTCCCAAACGCCTTAGGAGTCGAAGGTCTCTGGTTGCGAACTTAATTCGTTCTGGAGGTCTGTTTTTAACCTGAGGTACCACTTTAGCTAATGTGGCCTCCCGCTGCCGCTGCACCGCCGGTGTGCGATTTCTGTTCTCATCCTGAGGTAAACTTCTTAACCCAAGGTACTACTTCTGGGTTAGCGGAGTCTGTAACCCAAGGTGTTTGTAACCCAAGGTACTGCAATATATATATATATATATGTGTGTGTGTGTGTGTGTGTGTGTGTGTGTATATATATATATATATATTTGCTTTCGTAGATTTTCACGGGTACAGGAATGCAGGTTTTGGTGTCCTCGGGTGTCTTCCCGTGTAAAAGTTGGGGTGTCTAGGCGACGTTTCGACGAGGTCTCACTCGTCATCTTCAGGCTGGTGCTTTCGGCTTCTTGTTACTGGAACAGAGCAGGATCTCAGTGTTTGAGTTCCTATAAATACTGTTGAGGGGGTGTGGTGTATAGCCTCCAATGTTCTGGGCAGAGAGGAAGTTCCCAGGCTAGTGTGCCTTTTCTTCTTTTGTTCCTTAATTACTTGAGGGATATCTTGAGTGATTTCTTGAGTGATATCCTGAGTACCACTTAGGTGGGTCATTAGGTGTGGATTAGTTGCTAAAGCCTTCGTGTCTTGACCTCTTGAACTTTGTGAAGAGTTTTTCTGAGAAGATGGCTGTACTGCACTTAGTTGTGCTCTGGCTTGGCTTCGTGTATAGGGGCGAGCTGTGGTTTTGTGTCCTGTGCCAGCCAGATCTGTGTAGGGATTGCAGGGGGGTGCAGCATCCGGAGGTGCCACCATGGTTTGGCTACTGGATGGTGTCTGTAATTTATCTGTGGAGAGGGTCTGGGTTTGGGTCTGGTGTGGTTGATTGGTGATGGCGTTCTGTGTGCCTCTGGATCTGGTGTCGGTTTTTGTGGGGAGGGCTAATTTCCAGATGTCTGGCAGGCGGGATGTGTCGTCACGCTTGTTCATGTTGTGAGGGTGTTTCTCTATCTCGATGGCTTCCATGATTATTCTCTTGTGGTGATGTTCCATGTTAGAGAGCAATTTGGAATCTGCAAAATTAATTTCGTGTCCTGTTTCTTTCATGTGTTGGAAAAGAGAGGAAGTTTTTTCTTCTTTTTTGACGGCATTCTTGTGTTCTGCGATACGTGCATTTATTCGTCTGTTTGTTTGTCCAATGTACGTGGCTGGGCAGACTTTGCAGGGTATTCCTTATATCAAGGGCACTACAGATAAAATTAGCAAAATCCTCCATAAACACAATATCAAAACAGCCTTCTGCACCAACCAAAAAATAGCCAATATCCTCAGAAACCCCAAGGATAAAATCCAGTTGGAAAACCAAGGAGTCTATGAAATACCCTGCAAAGTCTGCCCAGCCACGTACATTGGACAAACAAACAGACGAATAAATGCACGTATCGCAGAACACAAGAATGCCGTCAAAAAAGAAGAAAAAACTTCCTCTCTTTTCCAACACATGAAAGAAACAGGACACGAAATTAATTTTGCAGATTCCAAATTGCTCTCTAACATGGAACATCACCACAAGAGAATAATCATGGAAGCCATCGAGATAGAGAAACACCCTCACAACATGAACAAGCGTGACGACACATCCCGCCTGCCAGACATCTGGAAATTAGCCCTCCCCACAAAAACCGACACCAGATCCAGAGGCACACAGAACGCCATCACCAATCAACCACACCAGACCCAAACCCAGACCCTCTCCACAGATAAATTACAGACACCATCCAGTAGCCAAACCATGGTGGCACCTCCGGATGCTGCACCCCCCTGCAATCCCTACACAGATCTGGCTGGCACAGGACACAAAACCACAGCTCGCCCCTATACACGAAGCCAAGCCAGAGCACAACTAAGTGCAGTACAGCCATCTTCTCAGAAAAACTCTTCACAAAGTTCAAGAGGTCAAGACACGAAGGCTTTAGCAACTAATCCACACCTAATGACCCACCTAAGTGGTACTCAGGATATCACTCAAGAAATCACTCAAGATATCCCTCAAGTAATTAAGGAACAAAAGAAGAAAAGGCACACTAGCCTGGGAACTTCCTCTCTGCCCAGAACATTGGAGGCTATACACCACACCCCCTCAACAGTATTTATAGGAACTCAAACACTGAGATCCTGCTCTGTTCCAGTAACAAGAAGCCGAAAGCACCAGCCTGAAGATGACGAGTGAGACCTCGTCGAAACGTCGCCTAGACACCCCAACTTTTACACGGGAAGACACCCGAGGACACCAAAACCTGCATATATATATATATATATATATATATTGCTGAGCAGTGGGACAATTAAAAACCCCCATCAATAATAGACATGGAGTACTTGGATAGATTTGTTTGTTTGTTTTTTAAACTAAATCAATTTGATGGTTGTGCTGGAAGATGGAGTAGCAAAAAACTCAGCTTTCTCATAAAGCTGCTTTTTCACATTCAGGCTACATACACATTACAACTTGAAAGCACAGTGGAAGCACATTCCCCCCCCCTCCAAAGAATTACGAGCACTGTAGACCCCTCCCAGAGTCACAGTTTGCAGTAACCCATAATCTTCAGTTCCCGGAGTTCTGTGAGGGTTTGTGTGTTTTGAATGTGCTTTAAATGTAGAGTGCGTGCGTAGCCTGATAGTCAGGCCGCAGCCTACTTTAGAGAGGCCAGGACTGATAGTGTAGCCCTGTGGGGAACCCACTGCCCCCCGGAATCTGATGCCTGAGGTCAAATCCACACCATACATTCAAAGTGCTTGTACCGCTTTAATAGTCACGACTTGCCCCAGAGAATCCTGGGGACTGGAGTTTGTTAAGGGTGCTGACCTCACAGCACTGCAGTTCCCAATCCCTTTAACAAACTCCAGTTCCCAATATTCTGCATGACTTTTGCAGTTAGGAAAGTGATGGAGAAATGTACTGAAAAATGTAGAATGAACGAACGATTAATGGGAAGACGTATAACCTGCCCACAAGCAATCAAAACGACCGTTTCATAAAGACACCAGCTGTGCACACATGACTTTTTACTCCAGCGCATTCCCTCCACTGGTGTTTGAAGCCAAGCATACATGATGTTAGCCACGATCCAAATTCATCCTGTAGTTTCTGGAGAAATGCCCCTCTGTGGTGCGTTTTCCTTCGATCCAGCTTCCATCTGATTAAAAACAGAAGCTGCGGTTAAGCTGTAAAGGTAAAGGGACCTCTGACCATTAGGTCCAGTCGTGACCGACTCTGGGGTTGCGGCACTCATCTCGCTTTATTGGCCGAGGGAGCTGGCGTACAGCTTCTGGGTCATGTGGCCAGCATGACTAAGCCACTTCTGGCGAACCAGAGCAGCACACGGAAACGCCGTTTACCTTCCCGCTGGAGTGGTACCTATTTATCTATTTGCACTTTGACGTGCTTTTGAACTGCTAGGTTGGCAGGAGCAGGGACCAAGCAACGGGAGCTCACCCTGTCACGGGGATTTGAACCGCCGACCTTCTGATCGGCAAGTCCTAGGCTCTGTGGTTTAACCCACAGCGCCACCCGCATCCCTTACAGTTAAGCTGAGGTGTGGACAATTGAGACAACAGTTGCACGTGCCCAGATGGGATTTGGAGACGGGAATTGCAGACGGGGGAACAAGTCAGTAATGCTCACCAGGTGAAGAAATCCCCACCCTGTCTTGTACATCAATGTGAGAAACAACCTTACTGCATTTCAAGCTGCTGAGGTGTACCTAGTGCCTGTCTAATATCCTCATAAGCTTTATGTGAGCAAATTGGGATGAATGCTTGATTCCTTATATCTCATAACTTTTTTTAAAAAGCTCAGATAAAACACTTTCATCTCTCAATGTGGTTCAGGTATCATTGTCTCATGATCTTTTTGGGTGGTGCCTATATATTGTAAAGTCGAAAATCAATGGAGAGGAAAACGACGCACTTGGCTAGTTGTGATTATCTTGACCAATCTGTTAGAATATTATGTTAATGTGAGCAAATGCAAAAGTAAAATTAGATCCCATAAACTGCAAAGTTCTGTTTCCCTCTCCTCCTCTGGTAACAGTGGCCAGGGCTAATATTCTGCCAGAGTTGGTTTGTTTTTTTGCAATTTGAAAACCAACCAAATTAGTGTCAAAATCAGTGAAGCATCTCACAATTGCTTTGGAGTTGTGTCAAGCTTCTTATTCTGACCCCAAGTTACCTTTGATTCTATCTTAATCTTTTTTACCTTTCTGTATGTTTATGTCTTTAAAAAAAACTTTGTAAAATGTTTTGTTTGGTTCCTCTTCCCCCCATATGATTTTTCAGGTTGGTGGAACAAAAACTGGCGTTGTGCGATATGTGGGGGAGACGGACTTTGCCAAAGGGGAGTGGTGTGGAGTGGAGCTGGACGAACCTTTGGGGAAGAACGATGGAGCTGTTGCCGGAACAAGGTAGGGGGACGCCACAGCCTGGGTGAGCAGTGTCCGTGTGTGCAGGGTTGTTCTTTTGCCCCGGAGCTTTTCCTGTGAAAACCCGCTCCTTAGCGCCCAGTCAGAGCCAGGGTCAATCCAGGTTTCCCGGTGATCGCCATCCGCTCTGGGCTTTCACAGGGAAAACTTCAGAGCAAAAAAGTACTGTATTTTTCCGTGTATAAGACTATATTTCCCCCCAAATTTTTAAAGTTTAAAATTGGGGGTCGTCTTATACACGGAATGTTGCAATTGTTTATTTATTAATTTTGCGCTCAAAAAACAGGGGGCGTCTTATACATGGGGGTGTCTTATACATAGAAATATACGGTATGTGCTTGGACACAGAGCTTTTAAGTGCAAATTGTGCCTGGAAAGAGCAGAAGAAAGGTAAGTGAGGATAAGCCCGGAATGTTTCTGCAAACTAAAAGATACACATTTTAGAAATCCTTCTCACGTATAAATTATTATTTGCTGAATTTGTTAGTCACTTAAATCGCCCAGGGCAACCTAAAGTGACTTACAACCAAACGGACAATAAACCCCACATACATATATTACAACCAAGGGGAAAGAGAAGTGAATTAAAAACATCCTGCCCACTTCTGACCTACCCTGATGGTCTAGGTTTCTATGTGCCTAAGGTTTTATGAAGTGGTGCAGCCTGGACCACCTCAGTCGTGAATCAGGTTTATCAAGCCACTCTCAGACCGGACACTTATGGGGAGAGGCCCAGGGCAAACCGAGATGCCTGGAGGTTTCCTGATCTTCTGACACCTCTGCGGATCCGTCTCCCTGGCAACCAGCCGAAGGAGATGCTTTAGCCGAGAGGCATCCAAAGTTGCTTGGAAATGGCAACCATAAACAGCTGCTTGCAAAGGATTTGGAACACCCATTCAGCCCTCAGCTCTGCAGTTCCCCAGCTCTGCCTCCCACAGGCAGAGAATTTGGGGCAGCTGCCACCTGCTTTTGTGCAGATTTTGAGGCGGCGCTCTGGAACAGCTGCTCACATCTGGGTGAGATGTTTGGCGTGCCTGTAGAGATCTTCACTTGCCTTTTCAGTGATACATCACTAGCAGCTTATTTAGTCAGCTGAGCTGCCTGAGAAAAGGAGTAGCCCTGCCCTCTTGGCCCAGACGCTGTCATCTGCTCTGCTGCCACATCTGATATTTTTTTGGTGGTGTGTGCATGTTCATTTTTCTTGGGTGGGCTTGTTTTCCAAGGCAGCTGGGATCTGTATAAACAGGGCTATGTATTATGAAGAGAGTTTTAAGAACTGGAACCTGAGCAAGGTTTCCCCCTCTTCCTCTCCCATTCCCCCTTTCCTTGGGTGTTGCGTCTTTTTAGAGGTTGTAGACTTCACATTTTTCCTAGCTATTGTTGAAAGTCTATTATTATTATCATCACCATCAGTTTATTAATTGCCTTCTGAACAACTATCTCAAGGCAACATGCGCAACAGATAATTGAAAACACAAAAACAGCAAACCTTTGAGGCCCTTCTTCGTGTGCCTCTTCCACGAGAGGGTGGCAACACGAGAACAGGCCTTCTCGGTTGTGGCTCCCTGTTTGTGGAATGCTCTCCCCAGAGAGGTTCGCCTGGTGCCTTCATATTTTAGGCACCATGCGAAAGCGGTCTTCTTCAGCCAGGCCTTTGGCTGATTGACATCTGATGCCCTTTTAAATGTGTTGAGGGAAGGGGGATTCTTGGATTGTTTTTGTTCTTATTTTTATTATAGGGTGTTTTGCTTTTTATACTGTAATTTTATGTTGTGAGCCGCCATGGCATCTATGGATGACGGGTGGTATACAAATTTAATTAATGATAATAATAAATGATGATGAAGATGCCCTGGGATCTATGCATGAGAGGCGGTATACAAATATAATAAATGGTATTATTATTATTATTATTATTATTATTATTATTATTATTAAAAAACAATGAGGGCAATACGAGATAGGTGCTCATGGCAAAGATCCATTTATCCAGCTGGGAAAGCCTATCAGGACAAAAATGACCACAGCACCGACTGTGTTTTGGGATCCCAAGTAGGGGATCCAGAAGCATAGAGCAGGAACGTAACCTCTGCCTTTCTTTTCAACTCCAGGTATTTCCAGTGCCCGCCCAAGTTTGGCCTCTTTGCTCCCATCCACAAGGTCATCCGCATTGGCTTCCCGTCCACCAGCCCAGCCAAAGCCAAGAAGAGCAAGCGAATGGCCATGGGCGTCTCGGCCTTGACCCACAGCCCCAGCAGCTCCTCCATCAGCTCCGTCAGTTCGGTGGCCTCCTCCGTCGGGGGAAGACCCAGCCGGAGCGGGCTGGTAAGGAGCGGCTTCCATTCGGGAATGAAGGCTTGGGCCACATCCCCACACCATAACTTCAAAGCACTATGATCCCACTGTAAACAGTCATGGCTTCCTCCTCCAAGGAATGCTGGGAAGTGTAGTTTGTTAACGGTGCTGAGAGTTGTTAGGAGACACGCCCCTCCCCCCATAGAGCTGCAGTTCCCAGAGCGGCTGAACAATCAACCCCTCTTTTAAGGAAAAGAGATGGATTTATTTACAGGCGGCGGCCATTTTGCGCACATCTGACTGATGTGCGACCGCCGACGCGTGGGTCATTTTATACAGGGAAGATGGCGGAACGAGGGTGTGGTGGGCTTATGCATGCTCTTCTCACAGAACCGCCGTGCAAAATGGTTGCCGCCTTTTTGCATTTCATAGATTAATAGAGTTGGAAGGGTCCTCCAAGTGTCATCTACTCCAACCCCCCGCAATGCAGGGATATCAAAGCATCCATGTTAGATAGCCATCCAACCTCTGCTTAAAAAGGAGAGCTCACAACCTCCTGAGGGAGTCCATTTATACCCCACCTTTTTCCTCTCAGGAACTCAAGGTGACGTTCATGGTTCTTCTCCCTGTCCTCAGTTAATCCCCACAACAGACCTGTGAGGTAGGTAGCTGGCCTGAGGTCACCCGGTGAGCTTCATGGCTGAGTGGGGATTTGAACCCTGGTCTCTAGCACAACACTTTAACCACTACTCCACACTGACTAAATCATAGTCCAGCGTCTTCTGGAGGGCTTGGGGAGGGCTGCTTCAGAGCGGGGGGTATACTTTCTTGTGAAGCTTGCCTGTGGCCCACAGTCTTGTCAGTGTCAGACAAAGACCTGTTTATTTCCCCCAGAGCAGTTTAACAATCAATCCCTCTTCCCTCTGGGAATTATAGCTCTGTGAGGGGAACAGGGACCTCCTAACGACTCTCAGCACCGAGCAACAAACTGCAATTCCCAGGATTCTTTGAGGGGAGCCATGACTGTCAAATGATGCTTCAAAGCTGCCCTGTGGATGTGGTCTAAATGCAACAACTTGGTGCTAAATATTACTATTGCAATGCAGACTTGTTCCACTTTCTCTTCTGGCAAATAGGTTTTTTTGCAGGCTCTTGTATTCTCCATGAAGGGAACACAGGGGTGTCGTAGCCACGGACTAGATTTTGGGGGGTGGAGGGAGGGAAGCCATGTTTAAAGCGGAATCGTAGTGCTTTAATCTATGATGTGAACGCTCCCTGTGTTTGGATGTTGGGTTTGTCGCGAAGCTGACGGACCGAATAATGGACCTGTTGTGTTTCTCATCTGAGCTTCTCCAACCCTCCTCCTCCTCCTGCTCCTCTTGCAGCTGACGGAAACTTCTTCTCGCTATGCCCGAAAGATCTCCGGCACGACAGCCCTGCAGGAGGCCCTGAAGGAGAAGCAGCAACACATCGAGCAGCTGCTGGCGGAGCGAGACCTGGAGCGAGCCGAGGTTGCCAAGGCAACCAGCCGCATCTGCGAGGTGGAGAAGGAGATCAGCATCTTGAAAGCACAACATGAGCAGGTAAGGGACTTGCCTGGGCCACCTCTAAGCTGGCAGAGAGGGATGAGAAAATCAGAAGCAGGGAATGAAGTGCTTTTTGTTGATCTGTGTGGTATAAGGAAGCGAACTTATACCGAATCAGACCATTGATTTATCTCTTTCTGCCCTACCTTGAGATTCCAGGGATCAAATTTAATAATTAAAACAAATACCTCAAGGACCGTTTCTCCACATATGAACCTACCCAGACCCTGGGATCATCTTCTGAGGCCCTTCTTCGTGTGCCTCCTCCATAAGAGGTCCAGAGGGTGGCAACACGAGAACAGGGCCTTTTCTGCAGTGGCTCTCCTTTTGTGGAATGCTCTCCCCAGGGAGATTCGTCTGCTGCCTTCATTATACACCTTTAGGTGCCAGGCAAAAACGTTCCTCTTCAACCTTGTGTCCTGAGTTTGAGTGTCTTCAAAGCCCATGACACCTTTGGTCAAGGCTGTTGTCCAACTGGAGTGCTCGCATTCCAGTGTTTCCCAGTTGTTGGTGTTTATACTACATTTTTTTTAGGTTTGCCTTGAGACAGTCTTTAAACCTCTTTTGTTGACCACCAGCATTGTGCTTTCCATATTTAAAAATATAACGGTGATATCTGTGTGCATGTGTGCACATGCAGTCTCTATCTTGCCTGTGTGTGTGTTGCCTGTTTTGGGACCTTTCTTTTCTTTTCCTTAGTACATCTCCGAAGCAGAAGGGAATTTGCAGAGAGCGCGAACCATGCTGGACAGGTCGCAGAAGGAGAAAGTGGAGTTGCTCAACCAGCTGGAAGAGGAGAAAAGGTATCCATACTAGAGCAGGGGGCAGTAAGACACACAGCCCCCCTCCTTTCTCTCACACACAGAGGGATTTGGTGTTGACAGCCCCAGCGATGGCACTTCCGGCTAGCAATGAGGGATGCTGAGAGAAACCTGACAGAAACGGGAGGGTGGAAATGCTGGTTTTCACTTATTTGTCTGGCAAAAGAAACTCAGTCCTGCAAGCATGATTGGCACCTGTCCTTTGGAACCCCAGCCCCCCACTGCATATCAAACAGGCCCCTTTTCTCTGTTGTTCTTTCGGCTCCTCTATCAACCGGCCTTCTAAAACCCAGGCGGCATCTGTCCTAGATCTGAACTGATTTGATGTATGTGATGCTGTTGTTTTAAACTGTTTTTATATTCATAGGTTATTCAGTGTTATTTTATGCAATTGTTTTTATGTCTCTATCTGCTTTATGCATGTCATTATATTGCAAATCTCATTGAGAGGTCTCGCGGGAAGCAGTTCAGAAATTTGGTAACGATGCTTTACTTAATCAGCGCAAGAGAGATTCAGAGGATTTTTTAATCACACCCCAAAAATACAACCTTCATGCTAATGGTTTCCCCTCCCTGACTTCTTTTTTTCCGCCTCAGGAAGGTGGAGGATTTGCAGTTCCGCGTTGAGGAAGAATCCATTACGAAGGGAGACTTGGAGGTAATCTGTGGCGGCCCCACACTTTTTAAAATGCATGAGCTGAGTTGTCAGCCTTTCTGGTCCAGCCTTGTTTTAATAATAAACAGAGTTATATTGATTAGCTGCTGCCTGACAAAGTGCAGGGCTGGGACGTGTGTTTTCCGAACGGCTTTCACAAAGGACCGTTTTCGGACGACGTGCCGCAGAGCTGACATTGCTCGCTTGTGCTTTGGGTCAATCATGGGGCGAGTTTTGTTTAGTTTTGATCTCTTTGGAGCCTTTATTCTCTGGTGAGGGGGACTCGGTGCACTGGAGGGGAGGTGAAAAAGCCCATTGAATGCAGAGCATATCATGAGTGTTTCTAAGTTCTGGATTGTGGTGGGTACCCCCTCACTGCCCTGCTCCTCTCCCAATTTTGTTCCAGTTTTGCCTGCTATTTAAACAAGTCTTGCTCTGCATCCTGGTTAGGAGTAAAACTGTATTGTCCCTTTGAGTGGGGGAAGGAGGAGGAGGAGCGTTTCTGCGCTGTTAGGGTGATATCAAACTAAGTCACTCTCGAAATAGACTGGAATTAAGCAGATTAAGTACATTGATTTCAATAGGACTACTCTGAGTTTGACAAACTTTGGATATCACCTGCGGAAAGAAAGGCTTAATGTCAACAGCATTAAACATGCTGACATACAATAAGGATTCTTAATTAAAATCTAACTACTTTTGGGTGGAGGTAATTCGAAATGAGGAAAGCAGAATGCATTTATTTATGAATTTAAAATATCTTTGTGTATCCTATTTGGAAAACGCTACTTTGGCTTGGTGTTCATATGCTTTCCACTTCCTAAGTGTATTAAAGAAGGGTGAAACTGCTTTTGAACTGTGCAGCATTCCCAAAGCAAAACTCGGATTAAAAGGTGAAGTGAACGCGATTCACCCAGGGCACTTTGGTCCATAGAAGGAGGAGCACGAGGCCGAGAATGGCAGGTTCTCTGATACGCTGACTACGTCTGTGCGTGAAGCTCTGAGGGAGAATTGCTGCAAGGGGACAGAGAGGGCTTGGGTCAAATGGAACCCTGCAATGGCAGGTTTGTCTCTACTACTCTTGGATGGAGACAGTCTTGAGAGGTCTGGGACGAGGCTGGTTTGGGACGAAACACTCTCATCGCAAGCAATTATTTGCATGTGCAGTGGGACCTGAAGGAGCATCTCCACTCCCGTTGTTTTGCCCAGACACTGAGGTCCAGCCCCGAGGGCCTTCTGCGAGAAGCCAAGTTACAGGGAACCAGGCAGAGGGCCTTCTTGGTAGTGGCACCGGCCCTGTGGAACGCCCTCCCACCAGATGTCAAAGAGAAAAACAACTACCAGACTTTTAGAAGACATCTGAAGGCAGCCCTCTTTAGGGGAGCTTTTAATGTTTAATAGGTTATTGTATTTTAATGTTCTGTTGGAAGCCGCCCAGAGTGGCTGGGGAAACCCAGCCAGATGGGCAGGCTATAAATAAATTATTATTATTATTATTATTATTTTATTACTTGGGGCTGCCAGCAATTCAGGGTGAACAGAGCTGGTCCTCTGTGCTTGGTACCTTCAGGAAAGAGCACCTGGAGATAAATATACAGAATAGATGGGCGGTTGTCTAGGGCAGCAGTTTGCAGTGATAGGTTGTCTCATCTCGGATCAGGAGATGGGTGTCTTTACATTTACATTGATAACTTTTGGGGGGTTCCTGCACATATGTGCTGCCACAGTTCAGAGGGTTGACCCGGAAGCTGTCTCTCAATTGCGTGGCAGTTGCTGCCACTTGCTGCCTCTTGCTAGAGCGGGCTTCCCTGCCTTTTCGGATCTTGCGCTCTCTTTATTCTCCTGTTTGTGAACTGCCTTCCTTTGCCCTGTTTGCTGGAGAAGATAACGATAACTTCTCCTCTTGTCCGTTCTCTTGATTTATTCCTCTGTTTTCTACTCTCTTTCTCCCTCTCCCAATTTTTTGTTTTGTTCTATTTCCCCCCCTTTTCCTTCTGTGTTTTTTCTTTTATTTTCTCCTCCCGACCAGACCCAGACCCAGCTGGAGCATGCCCGAATACGGGAGCTCGAGCAGAACCTCCTGTTTGAGAAGACACAGGCTGAAAAGCTTCTCAAAGGATTGGAGGACTCTAGGGTAATCTGTCCCCAATGCTCCCCACCCTGCAAAACAGTCTCATCCTGCCCTGCTCCACGCAACCCAATGCCTGTGGATCAGATTGCTTGCATTCATTTTGATACCAACAAATCCTTAACAAGCCCCTCCTCCCCAAAAAAACCCACTTCTGTTTTCGTTTCTGTTGTTTTGGTCTTCAGCTTTCATTATTTCATTTATTACATTATATTTGCAATTTCCGCTCTTCCTCTTCGCCCCCTTCCCCACCCGCTCTCTCCAACGACCCTCAGAGGGTCGCATTTTGCAGTTTTGCCTCCTCCGTGTCTGTAAAAGGCAAACCCCCTTCCTTTTGGTTTTCTGTCCTCCAGCTTCTCATGCAACATGATAACCACCGGGACTGGAGCAAACCGCCATTTGCCATCCGATTTTAACCAATCGATAATCAATCGCTGGCCGAATACAGGGGGCCATTTACCTGGCAGTGTGTATGTGTCTGTACCCACCTTGACAGGCTGTCACCTGTCTTCATTCCACCTGGGGAGTGAGGAGAAGGGTTTTAAAAAGGATTCGCCATATATCCTCACCGACCCAAAAAGAGGGGTGGGAACGAGACTGGGAATGCCTTGGCCACCAGCTTCCCAAGCAGCTCTGAATGGAATCATAGAATTGTAGAGTTGGAAGGGACCCTCGAGGGTCATCTAGTCATAGCTGTCAACTGTCCTTTATTTGGTGGGAAAGTCCCTTATCCCAGCACAGTGTCCCGCTGCTGTCCCTTATTGATGATGTCCCTTAAATTTCCGGGGTTTCAAAGGAAGCAGCTCCTCTCCCTCCCTCCCTGCCGGCCAGGGAGGAGGGAGGCTCCAACTGTGTTGCTTGGCTGCGTTGCTCACCCAGTAAGGAGCCTAAGAACGACTGGGGGGTGGAGCTTGCATGCCTTGTGCCGATCAAATCGGCCGCGTTGCCTGGGGACTCGCCTTTGCTCAGCACTTCCCAGCAGAGAGGTGACAGTGGTTTTCCTTGCTGCATCCCCTTTGCCGGGTTGCTGCGCTGTGGGAACCACCGCTTGAGGCTTCGTTTGGCTGCTGGCTGGGTTTTCTGCCTTTGGCTCGGAGGGGCTCAGAAGTTGAACATACCTATGTTCGGAAAGTCCCTTGTTTTGGCTGCTGATCTCTTATTTTCGAGGCTGCTGGTCCCTTATTTTCAAATCTGTAAATTGACAGCTATGCATCTAGTCTAACCCCCTGCCGTGCTGGAAGCTCAACTAATTGTCCATGCTCCTTGATAAATGGCCATCTGTATTTGTCCTTTCATCATCACAGAGCTCTTCAGGGCCCCAGGAATTCTGCATCGAAACCAAATTCCTGTAGTTGTGGGTCCAGAATCCAGGAATGCAGATTAAACTGGGCGCACGTTTGCTTAAAATGTTAAAATGGACATGGTTTTGGGTGCCAGGGTATCGTTGGGTGCTTGAAGAAGGCCGTGCGTCTCTGGTTCTCTGTCAACCTGGGTCCAGTTCTGGCCTCCTCTCTGAGGCTTCCTCTCTGCCCCATCCTCTGGCTTGCTGAGGCGTTTGGAACTTGTGTGACTCTCAATTTCTGCGTGGAGGTCTTTCCAAGTTATTTCCTTATTTCCTGTCCTCTTTTATTTATTCATTTTAAGCACCTGCAGCCCACTCTTCTGCTGAAAAGGCCCCTAGAGCAGCTTACCTCGGACAAGGCAGTCTCTTGCCTGTTACGACACAAAAGGAAAAGGGACGAGGAGGGCAGAGGGGGCGGAATAGGTGACTTCTAAGCGACTCTGCAATTCTGTGTTTGCAGCCATGCGTGGATCTGGTGGGGTTGGTTTGTGATCTGTTCCTTGAGATTTCCTGCCTCTGAAAGCACCTTCCTTCCATTTCTTTTCACCATGACTCGCAAGCCAAACATGCCGCTGCTTACCGTACCCTGCATTATGCTAGCCAGCTGCTTCCCAGCCCATCATTCAACATTAACCATGGTCAGCAACGCGCTTTGCATCGAGCACCCTTCCTGACTCCTCCCTTTCTCGAACTCGGCTAATGGCTCCTTCTAACCGACTTGTCATGACTTGGTTTCTTTCTTTTTTTTAAAAAAAGGGCGCTTCACCCTTTTACACCAGGGTAAGCCATGTGGCAGTAGAGGAGACAAAGTTAACTGAGCAATGAGCAGAAGCAACTCCGATGTTACCTGGCTCACGTTTCATTGTTAAGGGGTTCCTTTGGCCCCAGGAAGCAAGGGACCAAAGTTGGGGTGGGGCAGAATGCTGATGTTTTCATTGATGGCTGTGCAACTGGTCACTGCTGTTCCCATTTGACAGGTGGGAAAGACTGAGGTTGATTGTTGGGGCAAAGTGTGTGTGTGTGTGAGAGAGAGTGTGTATGTGAGCTTTCAGGAGCCTGTCACACCCTGCCTTGCAACACACTCGATGCTGGCTTGCACACGGAGCAGAATGGGTGGGAAAACTGTGAGCACTTCATACTGCAGGTGTGGAAGGAATCTTTTTTAAAAGTCCTCTGTGTTTTGTCTGTCTGTAAGGCTGCCATTGTGCAGACACCGTCTTTGGAATAAATTTTTTTATACCACTTTTTCTTAATAACTGCAATGTTTTCTATTATATTACAGTGGAACCTCGGTTGTCAAACACTTCGGAAGTCAAATGTTTCAGCTTTTGAATGCCGACAACTCGGAAGTGAATGCTTCCATTTTCAAACGCACCTTGGAAGTCAAACGGCTTCCAAGGCGTGTTTCTCCATGTTTTCAGTGGATTTTGACCGCCCATTGCGCCTCGGTTGTCGAACGTTTCATTTTTTTAAAAAAATCATATTTATTGAAATTTTCAGAAAACAGAAAGTAAAGATAAGACAAAAACAGAATGCATTTAAAACCTTATTTTCATTATCCACTTTCTGGGACTCCCCCCCTCCCCCATCCCTGCCATATTCCCCTTTCATATCGTTAGCTCAACAAGCTCTCCCTCCTAATTTAAACTTAGTTTGTTTAGCCCAATATTCAAATTTAAGCTTATACAGTCCTCATCATTACCCTTGATAAAAAGCAAAATTTCTCTCCCCAAGGTCCCCCCCATTTTCCTTCCATGAATTCCCTTTTTTTTTAAATAAAAACACCCAACAAAATATATAAAGAAAAACAATATAAAGATATAAAAAGATAAAAAGTATATAGAAAAAAGAATTCAAAAAATAGTTGCAAGCCTTTGGATTCTAGTTCTCCCCCCCCTTCCCCGGTTTGAGTTCCCCCTGTCCACCAATCTATGTTGTTTGCCTGGAATTCTTAAATCCATAATCAGATTTTTCCCCCAGTCCCTTGCCAGTTTTTTTTTTTATATATAGTTTAAAGTTATTTTTATAATATTTAACTTCAAATCTCCAATCTTTGGTCTTTAAGGCTCCCCCCATTGCTTTTTCCATGTTGTAGTCCAGTTTCATCTTGTTCCGCTGCTAAAACGTTCTAATTCAGAAATTTAGTAACTCTACAGGGGATTTTGTTATTCAGGAACAGAAACTTGCATTCAGTCCCTTCCTTTCTTCAATAGAGAATTCTATTGTCTCCTTTAATGTAAACACCCCTGTAGACATAATACTGTTTCAGTTTTGCAGCTTTCCCAGAAGATAACCAGTCCTGTAAAATTCCGAAGGTATTTTTCCACTTACGACCATCTTTGTAATGTCCCGAAACTCCTCTAGGGGGATTGTTATAACTTTGTTTCCTCTAGTCCAAAAGTCTTGTTGTTATTCCATATTTTCGCCATTTTGTATCCGAATCTTAGCAAATTGTAACAAATTTAACCAACAAAGTCCTCAAAACAGAGTCCGCTTTAAATTTTTTCGGCTTTGACAGCTACTTTGACAGCTGTCAAAGTCTCCGTCTCTTTTCACCAGGCTCTCTCTCCAATCGCCCCGGTTCCCAGGGCGGGGGGGTTACGTTTTCCTTCTCCCTCCACTCTTCTCCTCCAGCACAGTTTCTTGTAGTTTCCCATCGTGAAATTCTTGGTTTTTATCAAAAATACAGTTCTTTCGAGACCTTGGTTGCCCGGTCCTTGTTTTAGAATGTTTACAGTAAGGAGGGGGACTGACTTACTTTTTGGATCCCCCCCGCTCGTACCAAATCCGAAAAAAATTCCTTTTTTTCTCCTTTTAAACCCGGTTTTCCAAATTACTCACGGGTTGTTGTTAAAAGTCCGAATTCTCAATGGAAGAAGTCAGCGCTCTCCGCCGGATGGCATGCGGCTTCGCTCGGCAGGGCTAGCAGAGGACTCAAAGCACCGCGCCTCTCCCTGGCACCCGATCCGTAGCCTTTAAAAAGGCTCCTTCACGAGTCGGGAGGGCGCTAGCGGTGCCAGCCGAGTCACCATGTCCACGGCCTCCGTGGCCGTGGGTTTTAAGGGTCCCCGCGTCGCCGGCGCGGTAAGACCCAGCCCCTGCCGAGCAGGCTCCCTCGGGAGCTCGGAGGGAGTCCGCCATTCGGCGATGGCGCCAACCCGGAAGTGGTTGTCGAACGTTTCAGAAGTCAAATGGTCTTCTGGAACAGATTACGATTGACAACCAAGGTTCCACTGTATTGCTGTAATCTGCTTAGAGCAGTGGTGTCCAAACCCTTTTCAAAGAGGGCCAGATTTGATGAAGTGAAGGTTCCAGCAAAGAAGGGCCAACCAAAGTTGTAAGTTGTTGAGCTTTTCTTAGGATTAAAGGGTTTTTTTGACTTTGTTGTTAAATTTAAATTCATTCTAATGGAGAAAATTAAAAATAAGCAAGGAAGGGAGGCCCAGCCTAATCCACTTCTAGGGACCCATTGTTTTGGGGTGGTTGTTGTTTTTTTGGCAATATATGGCTTGCCTCCATATGTACACATGCACACACTGCCAGCCACAGTGATGGGGGATTTCACAGCTGGTAATAGGCCACATGGGACCCGGAACAAAATGATGCCATGCCAAGCTCTCCTGTTCCGGGTGCCAGCCAGCCCATTTTCCTTCTTCCAGGCTATTGACAGCCATCCCTAAATTTGCATCTTCGGTGTAATGCCAGTGGCAAGGATCCTTTACCTAGAAGTATTATTGCTATTGTAAAACGACATGGTTCTTAAAGAGAGAGAGAGATGCGAATGCTTACCCTGGTGCAAAAAAGAAGAAAAAACCAAATCATACCTGAAAAGGAAGGTTCTGTTTGCATTAGCAATGTACTTAGACATTTGCCTTCCCTCTGCTGAGAGTCTTTTCATACAGCAGCCAGCTCAGTTTTGCCACCAAATTCCCAACTTTTTAAATGAAGTTTGCATTAGCCTCTTTCGCCTGGCGCAACCAGACATCCAGTTAAAACAGGGGTGGCGGGGAGAGCCTATGTTCCACAGATATTGCCATACTACAACACTCATCATCCTCCGCACTGACCATGCTGGCTGGGACTGATGCTCGGCAACATCTGGAGGGCCACAGATTCCCCTACCTGCACCTAAAAATATATTGGGCTGTCTATTATTATTATTATTACTATTACTATTACCGTTATGATACACGGTGTGAAAAGACCCCAAAAGAAATGGGCAAGTCTGAAAATGCAATGGCTGACCTTGCGTATGTGCGTTTATTTTATCGTCCACTCTTCTAGCTGACTACGGTGGCCGAGAAGTCGCGGATCCTCCAGTTGGAGGAGGAGCTGGCCTTAACACGAGGCGAGGTGGAGGAACTCCGGCAGTGCTTGAAGGACACCCTTCCTCCGGATTCTCCGGACCACAGCCTCGGCTTGCAGACGGAGGCCCTGCGCCTCCGCGACCAGCTGCTTTCCGCTAACAAGGAGCACCAGAAAGAGAGCAGCCAGCTGAAGGAGAAGTACGAAAGGACGCTGAAGAAGCACCAGCAGGAGATTGAGAAGCTGAAGGCCCTGAACGAAAAGTACTCGCAGGAAATCGTGGACCTCAAGCAGAAGGTCCAGCAGGCCACCAACGAGAACATGGGCCTCATGGACAACTGGAAGTCCAAGCTGGACACGCTGGCGTCCGACCATCAGAAGTCGCTGGAGGACCTCAAGGCCACCTTGAACACGGGCCCCGACAGTCAGCACAAGGAGATAGTGGAGCTGAAGGCTGTGGTGGAGAGCATCAAGATGGAGCACCAGCTGGAGCTGGAGAACCTGAAGGCCAAGCACGACATCGAGACGGCCGTCCACATCAAGGAGAAGGAAGGCCTGAAGCTGAAGGTGCAGGAAGCCAAGGACGAGGTGGAGGAGAGCGACAGGAACTGGAAGCAGCAGCTGGAGGCCAAGACCAACCAGCACCTCTTGGAGCTGCAGGACCTGAAGGACAAGTGCCGAGACGCAGATCTCCGAGCACACGAGCTGGAGAAGCTTCACGGCGACTATGAGGATCAGGCGCAGGCCATCGCTTTCCTGAAAGAGCAGATCGCTCTGGCCGAGAAGAAGATGCTGGACTACGAGACGCTGCAGAAGACGGAAGCCCAGAACAAGCAGGAGATCCAGCGGCTGCAGGAGAAAGTCCTTGTGCTGGAGAACAAGCTGCAGTCCACAGAAGCGCTTCATCCTTCTCAGCACACCAACGTACGTTGACTGGGCTAGCTGATTTCCAGCACCTTCCTCCACCCCCTCACCCCACTGTTTAATTGTCTTTAAAACTCCCGGATGCATTTACAAAGATGCTAGCACACGACTGAGGATTTGAAGCTGGCAGTAATGTTTTCTCCAAAACCAGGGCCGTCCCTAGCGTTAGACAAAGTGAGGCAACAGCCTCAGGTGGCAGACATTCTCAAACATTCCCTTCTGTTGTAGGACAGAGCTTTGCATGCTACGCATCCTGTCTTTGCAGGGCCGGATTAAAACCTTTAGAGACCCTAAGCGCTTAAAAGATTTTGGTGCCCCTGTATATATCCAATTCAAAATATAAACAACAATAAACCGTAAAGCAAGATTTTATTTTTCGAGATGAAACGAAACCTAATGCAAGATAGAAAGCGATGTTTATTGCCGTATGCTTCCACTTCTAAAAGAATGCTAGGTTTGGAGGAGCAGAGGCAGAATGAGAAAGTAAGGTGGGAACTCTAATAAAGACAAGGAGTTTGTGCTGGGTTCAGGGGCAGAATGGAAGCCGGCGACAGCGTCTGGGGAGGCAAGGAAGCAAACAAACAAATGAAAATGGCATAGCGCAATACAGACCTGCGTAAGGAAGAGCCATAGCTCGGCGGCCGACTGGCAGGCTGTTCTGAAGGTGGCTCTGCCTCTTGGGCCAACAATGGCTGTTTTCAGGTCCTGCCTTTATCAGAGCCCCGATCCACCTTTGGGAAAGAGCCCTAGTTTCATGTCAGAAAGCCCTATGCTCAGTCCCCGGCACTTCCTGTTCAGAACCATGAGTACTAGAGTCTTACTTTTTACATAGGTGGTCAGCAATTCAGTGACAGAGCACTTGGTTTCAGGTTTAGTCCCCAAGGGCAGCTCCGGGGAGGAGTCCTGCTTGAAACTTTGGAGAGCTCCTGCCAGCCAGTGTAGGCTACACTGAGCTAGATGGACCAGTGGCCTGACTGTGCAAGGCAGTGCCTGTCCTAGGTGCTTCTGACCAGGCTGTGTACACAGTTCCCCGTCCCTTTCCCTAATATGTGCGCAATCCTTCTGACGTCTGGGGAATGTGTACAATGGCCAGTTGTGCGCATTCTCCATTTGATTTGCATGAGCCAAGGTGCACCCGAAAATTTTACGCTTGCGTGTTTTTACCGTTTGTTACAGATGATTGAAACCAACGACATTTCAGAAGAGAAGATCAAGATGAAGCAGACCATGGAAGGTAACTCTCTCTAGAAATCAGACAGGCTGTGTTAAGGTTCAGAGGCCAGCCTAGAAACTGGCTTAATTTCAGGAGGCTATGAATGTCACTCTAATTTTCTTGCTTCTGATGTTTGAGCCTATGTTTTCAGTTTTGCGAATTGTGCTATTCCCCACCTCCCTGTAAGCAGCGCCGGATTTACATATAAGCTAAACAAGTTATAGCTTAGGGCCCCACTCTCTTGGGACCCCCAAAAAAATTTAAAGAAAAAAAACACCTGGATGTACATTTCCAAAATATAAGATAAAAAACAAATTAAATAAAACCTACATACAGCAACAGTCTTATGTGTTGTGTAGGCTCCTATGCTGTAAGTAATGGGCCCCGCCTGCTAGCCTGCTCCCTAAAATATCACTGGTTTGCTCATTTCTATATATAGGGTGCCTACTTTCTGCATGGACTGGTTCCATGGCAACATGTGCAAATGGCTTTCGATCCCTATTAGATCCATAGATGACCATATAGCATATATTCAACACAAAAAACATCGACAATTGGTTGTTGACAAAGGACAGCTGGACATATAAAAGGGCCCCATTACCTTTAGTAGCTTAGGGCCTCATTAGTCTAAATCTGGCCCCGCCTGTAAGCTACATTGAGACATATAGTGAAAATTGGGGTGTTAATCAACAAATGAATAAATGAAGCCCCTAATAATATAAGCTTGCAAACGTAACAGGTGACCCGACTCCCTCTTATCCTCCTGCAGATCTCCAGGACAAGCTGAGTAAGAAAGATAAAGAGGTGTCATCACTTGTCTCCCAAGCAGACACGCTAAGGACTCAAGTAAGTGGTAAGTTTGCTTAGGCTTGTGTTGGTCAGATTGACAGATAATTTCAGCCGGGGTGTGTGCGTGTGTGTGTGTGGCACGGCGTGAGGACGGACATCTATTTTAGTCCTCACTTTAATGGAGGGGCCGAATCTACATCTGGGCTGTACCACTTTAGAGCCGAGAGGAGGGCTCTCACACAACTGATGTGAATCGCCTGCACATGGAAACCAAGCAGCTCAGGGGGAAAGCAAAACTAGGGCCCGTCTCTGTGTGCGAAACCCGACAGCCATTGCTGGAAGGAAAGGCCAGCTTTTAGTATGTGCTAGTGGCCAAAATTGTGGAAAGTTATATTACTGATGGTTGATGGCTCATAATGCTGGTGTTGTTGTTTTTTTTAGAATAATACAATAAAGTTATGCATGATCAGAAAGGCAGAATAGAATGCAAAAAACGGTTTTGAATGATCCTTATTCTGTAAAAAGTTATAGCCAGATAAAAGGGGTTATACACAGAAAGTTGTGAAAAAGGTTATTTCATCACTGTTTCTGTTAGTACTTGATGTGGGAAGCTTTTGCTGCAATTACAGCCCTGCAACCATGTCCCATGGAGCGAACCAAGGATTTTAGTTCATCAGGTTTTATTATGTGAAACCATGATTGGATTATTGATTCTATCAATGGTGCTTTATTCCTTGGATACTTCTGACTAACAAGTTTCTTTAATCGGCTCCACAAATTTTCTATTAGATTCAGGTTAGGGCTATTACACTCTGTCATTGGTCAGTTTTGAGTTAAGGATAGCCACTTCCTGTTACATAAGGCAGACATGCTTTCTTTTTCTGGTTATTTGGCTGCAACATTTGATAGAATAAAGATAATCCAACATAGGGTTGCCATATTTCAAACAGTGAAAATCTGGACAGAATTTATTTATTTTAGCTTTTGGGAGAGGCAGAAACTTTGACGTTTTTAAGCTACGGTAATTTTATGGGAAATCAGCAAAAGCGACACTGCCGACACTGGTTGCCATACGTCCTGATTTTCCCAGACATTTTTTTGATTACTGCCCGGATGTCCATCACGATTTGTTCCATTATATCCTGTGTTAAATTATCTTTCTAATGGTGTATAATTTTTTTGGTATTATTCTAAAAAAGACTGATGTTATGAGCCATCAAACCTTAGAAATACAAATTTCCTTAAAGCTTCCCACACGTTTGACCCCTAGTATGGTCTCTCAAGTCCCTATGGCTGTAACAGCCTGGACAAAAGAAGCCTTTTTTAAAAAAAAACCAACCCCAAAGAAAGTGTTTCAAATTAGTTCTACCATTGATTTAATACTTCTGCTGATAAAAATGCCAGCCTGTGTACAAACCCAAGTACACAGAAAACTAAGAGAATTTAGTTCTGTTGCATTAATACCCTGCTTCTCTTCCATTGTGCCAACCCTAGGTGGTTACATCTCAAAAGACACAGCACACAAGGAAAAAGGGTTGGGAGGGAGGAAGAAGAAGAAGAAAGAAACGCAGACACGAATTCTGTATATTCCACCTTCTTTCCGTCATGGAACCCAAGGGGGCATGCATGTGGTTAACCAGACCCAGACCTGCTTAGCTTCATCAAGATGGTGGCCTCAGATGACAGTGAGGGATGAATAGACGGGGACAGAGATGTTACTAGGGACTTTCCCTCTTAGGAAGGTGAAAGGGCCCCCTCCTCTGCTTGGGAGGGCCCTGGACAGGATGTTGAAGGTTGCATTCTGTCCTTATCCATGTCTTTCCAGGGAAAGGCCAGGTTTGGTGCTTATGACATCAGAATGGAAGCTAATCTGTCCTGCTCTCACACTGGCCAGCCAGGTGCTCCTCCTCCTGATTGCAAGAGCGCTCCCACTTTCTGCAATTTCCAAAGAAGGGCTGCACTTAGGAGGAAGACAGAGTAGGTTCATGGCAGCCACAGAGCAGGGACCTCAAGCTCTTTAAGAACAGGGTTGGGCTGCCAAATTTGCGGAACTACATCTCCCATCATCCCTGACCAACGGGGGCTGCTGCGAGTTGCAGTCCAGCAGATAATCCAGAAGACCACTGCAGTTCCTGATCCCTGTCTTAGGGAGGATCTTGCGTGGCCCTGCCTTGCAGAGAGAGAGAGAGAGAGAGGGAGAGAGAGGGGAGAGAATCTGCTTTACCTTTTCTCCCTCCACCCCCCTCAAATGCACACGCTTTCCTTTGGTCCGGCAGCCTTGGAAAACAGATGCAGGAGTACTGAGAGGAAGGCAGATTCTCTGTTGAAAGAGAAGAAGAGGCTGGAAGCCGAGCTGGAGACGGTGTCTAGGAAAACGCACGATGCTTCTGGCCAGCTGGTCCTCATCAGCCAGGAGCTGCTGAAGAAAGAAAGGTCAGTCTCCTCCGGCGGCTTAGCAACCCTGCCTTCAGCTTCCAACACCTCCTCTTCCAGTTCACCCACTCATCGTTGTCCCACCACCACTCCCTGGGCTCTGAGCCTTCTTTTTAAATAAATTTTTATAAATACAATGCAAGTACAATATGGGCATGTTAACACCTTACATTAAAAACCTGACGGTACCAAATTATCGAAGGTTATTCACCAAAGCCAGACTAAACATCTTTCCTTCTGCAGTGTTGGATGGCAGGTGGAGAGGAGTTCCCTACCAGGACAGACTTTGCTCGTGTGCTCAAGACATCGATTCTATAAAACATATTTTGCCGCACTGTGCAAAATATGAGCAAGCCAGGGCTGAACTGATATTAACCTTGCTGGTACCTTTCCCGGGAAAATCAGAGGCTCACTATGTCAGGTTCCTACTGGAAGACCGGACAAACACTAGAACATTAGCAGTGGCAAAGTTTTTATCGGTGGTTGCAAGAACCAATGATTCCTATCTTTAAGTCTGAACAAAATGCTTGTTTAACCTGGAGGTAGGCTGTCTGAATTGTGCATTGCTTTGTAACGATTTGTTGGGTCTCTGGACCGTAATAAGGATTGATTGATTATAATTTTTATTAGGTTATTAATCATTTTATACACATCAAACATAAACTTTTCGAACATTCAAATACAAGGTTCTTTTGAACATTCGGACCTCCTTCCCTCCCTCCATGGATTCCATGTTTAAATTTAAGTTTGCCGCATCTTTTACCATTATCTATCTATTAATTAACGATAATTATCATACATAATTCCACATTACAAGTGTCTTTACATCCCTGCCAAAAATTTCAACTGATTACAGTGGTCTTTTCAGTAAATTACAAATTTACTCCAATCTTTAGTAAATACTTGATCTTCCTGGTTTCTGATCTTCCCCGTCTGTTTCGCCATCTCCGCATACTCCCATCAGTTTCATCTGCCATTCTCCTTTAGTTGGTACTTCTCCTTCCTTCCATCTCTGGGCTAGTAGCATTCTCGCTGCCGTTGTTGCGTACATAAAAAGTCTTTTATCTTCTCTCGGTAACTCTTCACCTGTTAGACCTAGCAAAAAGGCTCTGAGCCTTCTTCCCTTGCTGGTTCCTCAGGTGGTTCCTCTCACCAGTCCTCTGCGTCTAAGTATTCCCTGACAATCCTTGAATAGCTGCCTGGCAAAGCTCTCCCCCAGCCTTCGGACAGTGAAAGGGCACTGTGTGTGTGCAGAGAGCACTAGCAAAACATTTGCGATAAAGCCCCCTTGTTGACGTTCTCCTGGCTCTCTCCCTCCAGGAGCCTGAACGAGCTGCGAGCTTTGCTCATGGAAGCCAACCGGCACTCCCCTGGGCCCGAGCGGGACTTGAGTCGCGAGGTGCACAAAGCCGAGTGGAGGATGAAGGAGCAGAAGCTCAAGGACGACATCAAGGGACTCCGGGAAAAGCTGATCGTTCTGGTGAGCTGGTGGAGAGCTGAGCTGGGTGCCCAGAGCATTGGGGGCTGTGGTGGAGGGCTCAGGGGCATAGCAAGGGGGGTGCCGACCACCCCTGGGTATCACCACTGAGGGTGACAAAATGGTGGGCAGCACTCACAGCAGTGCACTCTCCTGGGAGTGATGTGGTGGCTTGGGCACCCACAGGCTCTGCGCTGCCCCAAGCGGTCCGCCTGTAGGGTGGCTGAGTAGAAGGAGGCAGGAAAACTCCTCTGAGGCCTGCGGAGCATCCTGCCCCGGCTGGCCCCGCCCCCTGGGTGGCTGGCCCCACCCCCGGGCGCAGGGCACGCACACAGCCCCAGGTGCCCAATCGGCTTGCTCCGCCGCTGGGAGGGTTGAAGGCTTGAGCCACATGACGCTGGGCCGCTGCAATGCTCTCTCTCTGGAGCTGCCTTTACAAGTGGCCTGGAAACTTCTATTGACTAAAAAGGCCACTTGTCCCACTCTGTACCCCTGAGCTTCGGTCCAGTTCATTGATTCTACGTGTTGCCAGACTCCAGCACCCATCAGCTCCAGCCATTATGGCCAATGGTCAGGAATGATGGGAGTTGTAGTCCACCAACAACAATTGGAGGGCCTCCGGTTCCCCACAGAATTCCAAGTGCCGCCATTGGCATCTCAGGCCTTTGCAGGAGGGCAACCTGCAGCCTGAACTCATTTTATGAGGCCACCCCATACACACCATATATTTTAAAGCACACACTCCTCCCAGATTCCTGGGGACCACAGTTTACCCCTCTCAAAAGCTACAGTTCCCACAAATTACCATTTTAGGGATTCTGTTGGGAAAACCGTGCCTGTTTGAAGTGGTATGATGCTGCTTTAAATGTATTGTGCAGATGGGGCCTAAATTAGGTCCATATTCATTTCAGCAGATCTACTCTTGAGTAAACTTAGCTGCAGTGATTAGTTAATTAATTAATTGGATTAGTCAGATGACAACATTTAGATTGCCCCGGATTAATGTGGCACCAGATTCTGTTTTCTGCATTATCACTTGGTCTTATTCCTATAAAATATACTTTGGAAAAAAAAACAACAGATGGCAAGGAGAGTGACTTTTGGTCTTTGCTTTGGTCATGTAGAAGATAGAGGAAACCTCCTTCTCTGTTGCTCCAGAGGGGAAGCTTAGACTCGAGGGGTGGAAATTGCAAGGAGGCAGATGCTGGCTAAACCTGAGAGGTGAATTTTCCCAAAGAGCAGGAGCTGTTGGGTGGTGAAACAGCCTTCCTTGTTGGAAGTGGTGGCTTCTCCTTCTCTGGAGGCATTTAAGCAAGGAAGCCAGGGTTTGCAAGATCTGGCATTGATCCAGGGATTAGAATAGATGACTCCCTGGGTTCTCATCAAGTGCGTGTTTCTAGTTTTACGGTTGTTGTTCTTTTCAAACAGGGAGGAAGACGCCACCTCAAATACTCAAATACTTCTGCAGCATCATCTAAACTAAAGAATATTCCCTCCCTACTTAAAAAATGATTGATTGGACACTACCAATTATTATAATTGATGAATGCTCGTACAATCAATAATTCTTTTCATGAGACTTTTTAAATCGGGGAGGTAGTAACTCCTCCTGCGTCAGTAAAATGGCAATTTCTGAGTGCCACCCACCCACCCACCTTGTTATGAGAAACATCATAAACTGCTTCTACTCTGTGCTTTTCATTTTATGCTTGACTGCAGAACTCTCTAGTGGTAAAGAGTTGTCTAAAATGCCTGTGGAGCACAACTAGCAACAAACCCCATTTAAATAGTGTTTGAAAGACTCAAAGCGCTTATGGTTTGTTTGTTTGTTTGCAGTATTAACATGTAATTATCAATACCGTGGTACCTCGGGTTACATACACTTCAGGTTACATAGGCTTCAGGTTACAGACTCCGCTAACCCAGAAATAGTGCTTCAGGTTAAGAACTTTGCTTCAGGATGAGAACAGAAATCATGCTCCGGCAGCGCAGCAGCAGCAGGAGGCCTCATTAGCTAAAGTGGTGCTTCAGGTTAAGAACAGTTTCAGGTTAAGTACAGACTTCCGGAACGAATTAAGTACTTAACCCGAGGTACCACTGTAATCTGCACAACAGCCCTGTCTTTCATAGAATCATAGAGTTGGAAGGGACCTTGAGGATCATTAGTCCAGGCATGTCCAAAAGGTCAATTACAATCTACTGGTTGATATCGCGGGGGTGTCTGTGGTCGATTGTGACTCCCCCTGGTGTGTTACCCAGGGGGAGCTCAACAACATTTGTTTCCCCAAAAAAGCTCAACAACTCCGGTCCATTCTCCTATAACAATGGGCAGATCACTGCCTGTTTATTTAAAAGACTGAGTAGATCACAGTCTCTTGGAAGTTGGACGTGCCTGATCTAGTCCAATTCCCTACAATGCAGGAATATGCATTTGTCCCATATAGGGATCGAACATGCAACCTTAACATTATCAGTACCACACTCCAGCCAACTGAGCTATCCATGGTAACTGAGCAGTGCAGTATTATTATTAATCCCATGTTGAGAGAGAAGAAGTGCCTTGCCTAAGGACCTGTTCCTGAGTGCATGGCAGGAGGCCGGAACTGGTGATTTCTGGTTTCAACCTCAGCCCCTTGTCCGCTCTTCAGAAGGTTCCCCCTCTGGGTGAATAGGCCCCAAATGTTCCTGTTAGCTTCTTTATTAAAGAGCTGATTTAATATTTGTTTAAATCTAACCTTTCATATTTTAACGCAATAATACTGTTGTTAATTTTTTTTTATCTCCTCCAGGATAAAGAGAAAGCAGTAACAGACCAGCGACGATACTCCCTCATAGACCCTTCGTCCGAGTCCGAAGTCCTCCGGTTGCAGCATCGGCTGGTCAGCACGGAGGACGTCCTGAGGAACGCGCTGGAGCAGGGCCAGCAGATGGAGAAGCTCGTGGAAGCCATGAGAAGCTGCTCTGAGAAAGCACAGGTGGGTGTTCCACATGGACTCTCTGTTCTCCCCACCGGGCAGATTCCCTCTTTTTTCTTTTTTTAAATTTTATTTATGCTTTTCAGGTTTATACATTTCACTAATTTCGCAATCATTTTAACATTTCAAAACTTGACTTCCTTCCCCCTCTTTCTGCTGTTCCTTAAATTTATTTTTAATAACTTCTGCATATCCAAACTTACTGTATTTTTCGCTCTATAGGACGCACCCGACCATAGGACGCACCTTGTTTTAGAGGGGGAGAACAAGAAAAAAGAAATCTCCCCCTCTCTGCTCAGCGCCCCTTCAGCGAAGCGGCAGGAGAAATGGATCCCCTTCCATTTCTCCTCCCGCTTCGCTGAAGGGGTGCTGCGCAGGTCTCCCTTTCTGCTGAAGCCAGGAAAGTCTTGCTCTCCCGGCTTCAGCAAAAGGTACCCAAAGCCTTTGGAGTGCAGTGCGAGTTCCCGCTGCGCTCCAAAGGCTTCAGGTGGCTATCCCTGAAGCCTGGAGAGCAAGAGGGGTTGGTGCGCACCGACCCCTCTCGCTCTCCAGGCTTCAGCGAAAGCAACGCGTAGCCTCCGGAGCGCGGAGGGAGTGCTCCCTCTGCGCTTCGGAGGCTTTGCGTTGCTATCGCTAATGCCAAGGAGCCTGCATTCACTCCATAGGACACACACACATTTCCCCTTTATTTTTGGAGGGGGAAAAGTGCATCCTATAGAGCAAAAAATACGGCAATTTGCTCATTTATTCATCGACTTCAAATATATACTCTTATAAAACTGCAGGTTATTACAATAATCCTGCCAATGTTCTTATCTGTTTACAATTTATCTGCAAATACTCAATAAACGATTTCCATTCTTTTATAAAAAGTTTGTTATCTTGATTTCTTATTCTTCTGGTAAGTTTTGCCATTTCTGCATATTCCATAAGTTTTTGTATCCATTTTTCCTTTGCTGGGACTTCTGCTTACTGCCATTTCGGGGGCGAGTAACATTCTTGCCGCTGTAGTCGCATAGATGAATAAGTTTCTATACATGTTAGGTGGTTCTGCCCCTATAATTCACAAAAGAAAAGCTTCTGGGTTGTTGTCTTTTACAAATGTTATTTTAAACATTCTTTTCAATTCATTATATATCATTTCCCAGGCAGATTCTCTTATCACTTTAGCCACAAGTTATTTCAGTTGTGCCTCTTTCTGTAAAGGGTAATATTGCCATGTCTTTAGCTTATGCCACTTTTTTTCGTAAAATAAGCTTTAATGCATTTCTCTTTAATCATCTCACATCTGGATTTTTGCAGCACATAAAATCACTGTCTTTCATTGTGCTTTGGCTATTTTTGATGTACCTTCTGATTGCTGTGCGTCCAACTTACCTAATACACCACCTCTTTCCACCACTTTTTCCACCACCCCCTTTTCATTTTAGACTATTGGGAATTCCGGATCTGCTAATGGAATCCACCAACAGGAAAAATCTAACAAACAAGAGGTGGGTGATTTGAATCATCCCCCCTGCACGGCTTCCTCGGTTTGCTCTGCTTTTTAAAAAAATACTTGCTGAAATTTACTCACACAGTGAGCATAATAGCACTAGTTTTGGGGCAGGGGAAGTTAGAAGAAGAGTTAAGAGGGTCTGTGTGGCCTTTTGGCTCGCAGGTCAGGCTAGGGCCTGAGAGACCGGCCTTCAAATTCTCCTGCTCGGCCACTGGGTGACTGGGTCACTGTCCGTTACCCTAACCAACCTCACAGGGTTCCTGCGAGGATGAAATGGGGAGCAGAAAGAACCGTTTTCACCGCTATTGAACTGCCTGGAGGAAAAGGGGGGTAGATGTTATGTCGTATTTTTTTTTTAAGGATTGCGTTGACCTTTCCAGCATTTGGCAGAACCTTTCGAACGATACCTTCATGAGCCTCGTGGAGGCGTTGTGGAGAGGGTGTCAGAGGAGGAGGAGATTGGGGAATTGAGGCATGGGATTCTGGACCCCGGGAAGAGTCCGATCCTGGGGAGACTCCCAGCAGCGTGAGAGGTGGGGAGCTGGATTCATGGGAAGGTAATTGCCCGTCTGCCATCTCACCTGCTGTGACTCAGACGTCTTCCCTTGTCAGCACAGAGCTGAGCTCTTCTGGGGAGGCACTTGGGAATAAACCAGGCAACGGGTGGCTCTGTTGACCTTGTCTCCATCTCCAAGGATGTAGAGGCAATGGTGCAAAACAGAGCTTGCGTGTTCAACTCTGTGGAGGACTGCCCACTTCCTTGCCCAGGTACCAAACCTCAAGACATCAAGGGGATTTTTTGTTTTTCTGGATGGAAGGAGACTGGTCCAGCTCTTTGGCTAAAACACCTAGGCTAAGCCAAGTGCTTGGAGGCAGCTTTCTCCCATCCAAGTACTAACCAGGCCTGAACCTGCTTAGCTTCTGAGATCAAACGAGATCGGGCATGTTCAGGGTAGTATGGCCATAGACTTGGAGGCAGCTTTCTATGTGTGTGAAGAGTTGGGATTCAGTGATTAAAGAAAGACAACCTGCACATGCTCAGAGATAGTGCCGTTCCATTTCAAACTGAAATACAAATGTCTTCCAAGACCCTCCGCAATTTTCAAGAGGTTGACAGGGATGGTGAGGGAGTTTGGGAACCGCTGTTCTAACTAATGCCGATTCTGTTTTACATAAACACAATTTTCGTTTTCGGAGGGCAGAACCCCTCAGATGAGATATCGGCGTCAATTGCGAACATGGCCAGATCTGTTCTCTGGAATATCGCAGCGAGCTTAGAGACGATCGTCGTCGAGCAGCCTGTAAAAAACGGCTTCCCGTAAAATGAAATAAACAATAAACAAACTGCCTTCCTTTCTTTCAGGAAAAGCACTGATGAAGGAACGGAGGTGGAGAGGACTCTGTGATGCCAGGATTTGCTCCTGAGAAGAGGCCGGGCAAGAGACGTCGCCCTCCGCCCCTCCAAGCCCCTCTCCCAGCTTAAAACACCACCTAAGATTATTTTCAGTATTTCCGCTCTATGGACAGGTCTGCGTTCATAGCGTGTTCTCGTAGGCACATCGGTTCATAATTTCCAAGCTGGGCCTGGTTTCCGAAGAGAGCGGTGCAGCAGCTGTGTGGCCGCGGCTGGATTTCTCTGCCGCCGGTTGCAGCGTCCAGTGACTGCTTTTATTGGCCTTGGTCACCTTGTGCCAGTATATTTTTGGGGTGTGTGTGTGTTGAACACCCTGCTGCAATGGCTGGCAGAAACCTCTCGTTCCAGTGGCCTGGTGGGAGATGCCCGCAACTTCCCGATACACTCGAATGCCCTTGGCGTTCTGCTCCCCCTCGGCCCCCGCCCCCAAGACGGAGGCTCCTCCCTTTTCTGCCCAAACGATTGGCAGGTCAGCAAAACAGCGGCAACTCTCCATCCCAGGATGTCGGCCGTCGAAGGCGGAAGGGCGAGATACCTCCGTGGCCTGCAAAATAGAGACTCTCTCTCTCAAGCTCCAGAATGTGGAGACCCTGCTCTTAATAATGTGGGATATAGATGTGCAGGTGGACCTTTCTCGTAACTTATTTTAACTTTGGTAACTGTGGAGTCATTTGGTAATTTGGAATTTATGGAATTGGTGAGGGGTGCAGAGATCTTTGCTGCCCACCCACCCCCGGTGTAGTTTGGCCATCTTGCCTGCTTGGAGATCTCTCTACATGAGTTGCCGGTGGGTGGGGTTGCTGTGGTGGTGAACTCTGCAAAGCCCTGAAGATGGTTCGGTCTCCCTGTTTATTTCTCTGTCGCTTCACCTAGTTTGCTTTTGAAGTTCTGAGGTGGTTTTCCCAGTAGTCAGAAGGAGGGTTTGCATTGCTCCCCCCACAACACAGGCCCAGTTTATACACTTGGTGGAATCAAGAAATAAAACACTCTCTTTTTGTCCGGAGCTGTACTGCTTTTTGGCAGCTTGGTGTGTCTGCCTAAAACCAACAAAAATTGCATCTCCCCACATGTAGAAAGCTAGCAGTGAGAGGGGTTCAACCTAATCTTCTCCCTGCCATACTCTCCACCACCCAGCCCTTCTCCATAGAGCAGCATTTCAAACTCCCACAGTGTAGATTTTAGAACAGGCTTGGGAAGCCTGTGGCTCCCCGGATACTGTTGGACTACAACTCCCATCATCCTGGACCACTGGCCATGCTGGCTAGGGCTGAGGGGAGTTGGAGTCCGGCAGTACACAAAGCGCCCAAGCTCCCCCAGGCCTGCTGTAGAAGCACAGTCCAGGTCACGTATTACCTCTGGATTCTCCGTGTGTATAAACTGGGCCACAGAGATTAATCTGCAAGTTGGAAAGTGTGTGTGTGGTTTTTCTAACACATGAATGCTGGGGTGATTGTGGCGGTGTCTTGTTTTTCCTCCCCACAGGCTTGAGATTTTGTGGCAACGTTCGCGGGATCAAATCTTGCCACGATAAGCTGAGATCTGCACCAGTTTCGTGCTCCTCCCTTTGAGCAGGGAAAGCAAACCAGGAAGCCACAGTTGGCCATAGTTTCCCGTTACGTCCAAACCAAGAAACCATGGTCAATGGCTTCCAGACACGCCAGAACATGAAATCCTGTTTTAGAGTTGGCTTCCAGATCCTGAGCTGTTTGGAAGCCATGAAACACAGTTTCCTGGCTAAGATGCAATGGAAAGCTGTGGTCGACGCAGTGACCTTGTGCAAAGGGAACACATGAAGCCCATGCATGTCTCAGCTTATAAACAGAGTCTGGAATACCCGGACATGAAGCATGTGCATTTTGTGTTACGAATTGCTTCTATCTCTCCCCACTCGCAGAGAGATTGACCTCAGTATTAGAAAAAAAGCAATATAGGGAATGGTGCCAGACACAGACAACGTCTGGGCTTAAAGCAAGAGATAGGAAGAGGCCTCCAAGACACAGTTGCCCCGTCCCCTGAATGTAACTTGAACTCGGGACCCTGTGAGCTCTAAAAGTGGTTTGGGTGAGCACTTCCACCACCACCACCCCTTGCCCACTGGTAGTAGGTTCATGTGGCTTTTTCTCAGCCTGACCACCAGAATCTGGCAAATCAGACAGTAGCTGCGAGGCAGATGTGCCCGTGGGCACTGCCACCATTCAGAACCTCTGTCCCAAGCCAAGGAAACGAGAAGAGTAGCAAGCCAGGGTGTTGTGGGAGCGGGGGGGAGGGACATGCCATTGGACTCTCCATGCTGGCTGCAACCAAAAGGAGTCACGATCGGATGAATTTTGGGGTGTTGTGGCTTTGCCCATCCCTGGACCAGTTCAAGGGAAGATTTCGCCTGCCTGTTCAACAAGTGTGGGTGTTCCTTAAAACCTAGCAGGGCTGGCACCTCTAGCACCCGGAATGAAAGGCTCCTATAAATGAGGGTGCTGAACCTCAGAAACATGATTCTAGATTCAGGTAGATAGCCGTGTTGGTCTGACACAGTCGAAATAAATAAAAAAATTATCCAGTAGCACCTTAGAGACCAACTAAGTTTTTTCTGGGTACAGTGGTACCTCGGGTTAAGTACTTAATTCGTTCTGGAAGTCCGTTCTTAATCTGAAACCATTCTTAACCTAAGGTACCACTTTAGCTAATGGGGCCTCCTGCTGCCGCCGTGCGATTTCTGTTCTCATCCTGAAGCAAAGTTCTTAACCCGAGGTACTATTTCTGGGTTAGCAGAGTCTGTAACCTGGAGTGTCTGTAACCTGAAGCATCTGTAACCTGAGGTACCACTGTATAAGCTTTTCGTGTGGTATCTGAAGAAGTGTGCATGCGCACGAAAGCTTATAACCAGAACAAACTTACGTTGGTCTCTAAGGTGCAACTGGACAATTTTTAAATTTTTTTAAAAAAGATTTATTTCGACTCAGAAACATGGCAAGCCAACAGTGTCCCTCCTCCCCAATGGATTACAGGCTGAGCTCATATGCCAAAAGCATGCCACCCCAGCTCCTAATCTAGTTTGTTGATGTCAACGCAGTCCCTGCCACAACAGCTTGACCCAGGCATAGGCAAACTCAGCACTCCAGATGTTTTGGGACTACAACTCCCATCATCCCCGACCACTGGTCCTGTTAGCTAGGGATTGTGGGAGTTGTAGTCCCAAAACATCTGGTGGGCTGAGTTTGCCTATGCTTGGCTTGACCTCTCTTCTCCCCATCGTTGCTGCTTTTTGGCCCAGCTCTTTATTTATCCCCCCCTCCTTTTTTTTAAAGCAACTTGACTTTGTTTCTTTCAGGTACGTCACTAACCACTAAAATATTTCCAGATGCTTTTTTTGGAGGGGTGAACTCCTTGTTGCAGATTTGTTCCTAATGCAGTCGGTTCACAGCCCCTGACTGTTCAGTTCCGTGTCCCTAACAGCTCCTTCGATCTGCAAAGGAAAAGCCCTTCTCCTCTTGACTTCCAGGAGAAGCAGCATGGAGCAATGCAAGGCCAGAGTTTCAGAACTGCACCGAGCTCTAAATCAGTAGCCCTCTCTGACTCAGGGCCCGGGGCAATAGGAAATGTGGAGAAGCCCTAAGCCTGGAATGCAAACAAGGCCTTTTCTACAGACTATCATCTCAGGCCCTGCCAGTAGTCACAGACTGAAGGCTCTTTCTCACTCCCTTCTACCTTAGTTCACCCCTAGACTCATTGTCTGCCTTGGACATCCAGCGATGGGGAGCGCGAGACTCCAGGTGAAGAAGCAGTTTCTGGGAATCGCTGTGGAGGGACATCTTGGCTGGCAGGGTTGGAGGGCCTGGTCTTCCGCAGAGGAAAAGAACCTATGGTCCTCCAGAGTTTGGTGGACTGCAGCTCCATCATCTCTGGCTGTTGGTTATGCTAGCTGGGGATGGAGCTGTTCAGAAGGCCACAGGTTCTCCATCTGTGGACCTAGCAACTCCATGGTTCTTCTGATGGAACTCATCTAGAGCTGCTACACAAAGTGAGCGTACCAGCATCACATAACGTGGACCTCTTTTGAGGATCCCAGTAAGGAATGCCTGAGGGAGCACAGCAGAATTTCTTGCCCAGGCAACATTGCTGTTTTCCACGATAAGAGCACGAATAGCCAACCTGGTGCCCTCCAGCTAATGTTGGACTCCATCTCCCATCAGCCCCAGCCAGCATAGCCAATGCTCAGGAATGATGGGAGTTGCAGTCGAACATCTGGAGGGCACTGTGTTGTCTATACCCCTAAACGTACACTGTGCCAATACCTGTAGTATTAGGAAGAAAGGGTGTGAAGAAACATCTATATTTTTCGTCTGCTGTTTTGAGGTATTCTTGCGAAACGTTTGCACGTCAAGGCATGGTTTGGTAAGAATAGCCGACCAAAACAGTTGACCAAAATGACCAGAACTGCCTTTGCCAACCTGGTGCCCTCAATATGTTATTGGACTCTGCCAACTCCCATCAGCCCCAGCTAGTTTTGTAGAGTTGTGGTTCAAAACTTCTGGAGGGCACCAAGATGGGGGGAAATGACTCAAATATAACTTCTGTGAGATCTTGGTTCAGAATAACATGGGAACTTTTGTTGTAGGTTCCGAGGGTTGTTGGGGGGGGGCTATTCTCATGGAGCTACAATTCCCCTCAGATACATCATTCCCAGAGTTCCTTGGGAAGAAGAGAGGGATCAGTTGCTTAAACTACTTTGAGGGGATTTGTAGCTCTGTGAGGAGACTAAGGGACCTCATGACAACTCTCAGCACCCACAACAAACCAGAGTTCCCAAAATTCTTTGCGGCGAAGCCATGACCAGTCAAAGTGGTGTCTTAGTGCTGAAATGAATGGTTTGAGTGTGGTCTTCATTGGTCTTCAAGTGGACCTCTGACAAAGCACCCCGTGTTGCTTCTCAGTTTTGTTTTGATGAATTGCTTCTATTTATGGATGGGCAGAAACAGATGTAAATTCTTCTCCATCATCTCCCCCATTTATGCCATTTCTCTGTGCTTTCCGATGGATTTATCCACAGGGCCTTTTTGGGGGAAGCCCCATTCCAAGGACAACTCACACTTCCCACCCAAGCTCTGAAGGCCTCATTCCCAGAGTACCAGCACCTTTCCCCCCCTAGAAACAAAGCGCTGTGCAAATCTATTCAAGACCAAGGGTAGGGAACCTCTGTGGCCCTTCCCAGATGTTTCTGGACTACAACTCCCATTGGCCATGCTGGCTGGGGCTGATAGGTACTGCATGTCCAACAACATCTGGAGGGTCAGAGGGTCTGCTTCCCTGGATCATTTGCCCGCCCCAAAGATATTTTCGCACACAGGGCCAGTATCTGCTCACCTGTGGTGTACACACCCTCTTCATCAGGAGCTGAAGGAGGGGCCTGAATAAATTCATAAAGGGATGTAATGCTTAATTTATTTATTTTTTCAGCCATTTTGCTGCGTGAGCAGGAAAAGCCTTAGGGGTCTGTGAGTGCAAGAATCAAAATCTAAGGCCAGTTACAGAGGGTGAAGGAAGAGAGAGACACCCTGCCGAGAATCTAGAGCAGGGTTTCCCAAACTTGGGTCTCCAGCTGTGTTTTTTTTTTTAGACTACAACTCCCATCATCCCTAGCTAGCAGGACCAGTGGTCAGGGATGATGGGAACTGTAGTCCAAAAACAGCTGGAGGGCTGAGTTTGGGAAACCCTGCTCTAGAAGGCCAAATTATTTTCTCTCTAAGGATCAGGAGGACTGGATAGCTCAGTCGGTTAGCACATGGTGCTGGCAGCACCAAGGTTGCAGGTTCGATCTTCCTGTAGGACAGCTGCATTGTGGGGGTTGGACTAGATGATCCTCAGGGTCCCTTCCAACTCTGATTCTATGACTTATAGGGAGGACTCTGTGAACCCAGCTTTGCCAAGCTTGGTGCTTTCCAGATTGCTTTGAACCACAACTCCCAACCACCTGGAAGGCACTGGGTTGGCGAAAACACTTAGAAAACATTCAGAGGCAACACAAAGCGCTGTGTGTTGTCTCCTTTCGTTAAGGCACAACGCTACACCCCGAAAGCCAAATACAGGAGGCCACAGGTTGCAAAGAGGTGCCCGTGACTCGCCACCCTTCCTGGTCCTCTCCCTTTAGTTGAGGATGCCAACCAAATACATGCATGTTGTCAACTTCGCACCAAGACAAAACCCGCGGTACCAACACAAGTCCTAATGGAAAGCTTTCCAGCAAGTCAGCACTTAAATCTGTTACGGATCTCTTAATAAATCCACTAAACGAACAAAGCCAACTTGTCGGCCTTCTGAGCAGAGCCAGAATTAAGCCGATACTAGATGTACAAATAAATTAAAATACGGATAACCTTTTACCCTTGTGGTATGTATTCCAATTTTGTAGTTTTAGTCACTTTTTTGGCTATCGAATTTTGTTAGAGAAAGAAAAAACAGTTTGACAGCTAATGTCCTATTTTGTTATCGGCTTAATTTTTTCCTTTTCCTTTTTTTCCTCTCTGTACAAAAGCTTTACAGATGGGAGTCTATTAAGTGTAACTACTTCTACAGATTATGTATTCATGTATCGCAGGCCCTGCGACAGGCTTGCTAAAGTGTGATGAGCTCATACTAAACCAATAAAACTTGTTGCGGAAGAGAAGCCCCCCTGTTTTCCCTGTGGTCCCTTCTCTAAGATGACACAAAACAGGAAGGAGTTGCACTGATGGACATTAGAAGATGAGCTAAATTCTTGAAATGTCTTAGACTTTTAAAAACAATTATAAAGAGAAAGTGGGTTAAAATTCAAAGCACTTCCTTCTTCCTGACCCAATGCTATACCTTTCCAAACTTCCACTGGGTGACTATCTTTTTCTCTGACCCAGGAGAACTTTTTCCCACTGCCTTGACCTATATTTCCTTGAAGAAGCTCTGGGACAGCTCAGTTGGCAGAGCATGAAACTCTTAATCCCAGGGTTGTGAGTTCAAGCCCTGCATTGGGTAAAAAAAAATTCCTGCATTGCAGGGGGTTGGACTAGATGACCATGATGGTCCCTTCCAGCTCTATGCTCCTTTCCAAACTCCTCTTTTACTCCCTCATATGGCATGGTAGAAGAAATGGCCATTCAGCTAAAGTCCCAGGACCTCCATACCGTCCGTATTTTGCAGGAGAGATCCAAACGCACATTGGAACTTTAAGTCTGTGCAACTGAAGTGGATCAAAGCAGTTGTTCTTTTTAAGTTGTTTATTATTATTATTTTTTGCGGTTTGGAAAGCGATAGGGGGAAATGTATTGAAAAGTGTGGGGTGAACGAATGATGAATGGAAAGACCATTTAGCCGCTGAACAATTTCATCAGGATAATCCAGGACAAATGCTCCTGGTCACATGGTAAAGGTAAAGGGACCTCTGACCATTAGGTCCAGTCGTGACCGACTCTGGGGTTGCGGCGCTCATCTCGCTTTATTGGCCGAGGGAGCCGGCGTACAGCTTCCAGGTCATGTGGCCAGCATGACTAAGCCGCTTCTGGCGAACCAGAGCAGC